CGTGAAAATTTCAGGGTTTAACATAATGGAGAGATACACACATACATAGGAGTGAGGCCAAGGTCACTGTTACAGGGATCCTGTGACTCCTGCCATGCTGATGCCAGGATCCTGCACCACTGCCAATCCATTCAGCCACCCCAGGAATCCTCAGTTAATGCAGTTCTACAGGGCTTTCTGCCAACAGCCCATTCCCTATCTTTTTCTCTGCTGAAGCTTGCTTTATGGCCCAGAATTTGCCAAAAATTTTTTTCATGTGCATTCATCACATACTGGGAACAACATTTTAGAGGCCTATGAGGTCAACTTTGTTCAGTGTGTTCTACACAACTTCCAGTGCTTTAGTGTTTTGTGATTCAATGTTCTATGGATTTCTAGAAAACACCGTAAAAAAACAAAACAGGCCTTTTCTGTGGCTTTGATGAGTTCTGCATCCTCTCATAATACATTCTCTCTTCACCTTTAGGAATACTTCCCTGACAATGACACGGTGAAACGGGATTTTTAGTCAACTCAACATTTTCCAGACATATCCTTTCCATCCTTAATTTCAGTTTCCTGCATCTCATTTTTAAGTCTTTCTGCTGCAGATATCATATATCTGATTTTTATTTTATAACTTAATTTGACAATTCTTTTTTAAAAAAAATCTGGAGAGTTAAGTTCATTTACATATCTTGGATTTCTCTCTAATTTCTTAACGTATGTTCTTCCCCCACCCCTGGCTCTCTTGTTTCTTCTTGCTGCCTTCTTTGAAGATGACATTTTATCCTCCTATTTTAATTTCAGAGACTCCTACTTTAAGTTTATATGCCGCTGCCGTTGAGTTAGTTAGCATTTTCTTGTTTTAATGTTATACGTTATGGTGTGGATGATTTATACCCTAATGTTTAACAAGCTGACAGACTTATCATTGTCCTGTGGTCACCATTACTGCTGCCTTAGACTCTCTTTGAGGGATGGGGTGTCATATTTTAACCTTCCATAATCATATCCTTTTTTATGTAGGAAACAGCTCTTGTCTTTGTCTAAATATGCCATCGCACCCTTCCTGAAAGATGGTTTCTCTGGGCTTATAATTAAAATTTGTCAGTTATTCTTGCTCAGAGATTTTAAGCATGATTTTCTACTGAATTCTGGCTTCTTTTGTTTCTGGTAAGTTGTCAAATGAAACTCCCCACTCCCTGATATCCCTGCCCCCTTTATTTCTTTCTGCTTACACTGACTCCCCTTTCAATTTTAAGATTCAGTTTGTTTAAAATTCTATATTTCTCTACTACAGTAGCCAATATCCAAGGGAACCCTGATGGTGCCCTGGAATTCAGAGATTCTCCTCCCACAAAAAACGAATGCTGGCTCTGTGTGACCAAAAGAAGACAATAAAGTACTGACTAGTGGCTTCAGAGTAGGTCTTACAAGGCAGGTTTGATTGCATGGACATAAAAATTGTATAAATCAGTTTGGAAAAACAGGTATCTTTATACAATTTTCTTGATACACGATTACTGTCTACAAATCATGAACATAATCTATATTAGCATTTAATTATTTTTATTAATATTTAACAATTTTCCGTGAAGAGCTATTATATCTATTTATCTGATTATTTCTTATAATGGTGATACTATTTAATATAAATTTTATAATTTTGATAAGTGTCATTTTGTTTCATCTAGAACTTTTATCATTACTATGTACTTTTTTTCTTTTTGGTTTTTCTTTTTTTTTTTTTTAATTTCTTTTTTTTTTTTTGAACATGAAATGCTTTTTTATAGCATGTTTTACAAGGGGAGGGGGTAAAAGGGTCCAGGTGGTGGAAAAGTACAAAATCTTCTTGGCCTGTGCCTTGAAACATGTCATGGTTTTTCGAGACAGGGTTTCTCTGTATAGCCCAGGCTGTCCTGGAACTCACTCTGTAGACCAGGCTGACCTCGAACTCAGAAATCTGCCTGCCTCTGCCTCCCAAGTGCTGGGATTAAAGGCGTCCGCCACCACTGCCCGGCTATCATTACTATGTAAAAAAGATAATTTTACTTGCTTGTTGATTTTGGACCAACAGTGCTTCACTTATACACTCTAAGTTCTTCTTTGATGGATGTTTTTAGACTTCTCTAAATAATAAATAAATTAATAAATAAATAAATAAATAAATAATGAATAAAAATTCATTCTATATTCAAATAAAAAGAGGTGATTTATTTCATGTTCTGACTTGGGGCCTTTTGTTGTCCTTTCTTGGTTCATTTCATTTGCTGAAACCTATTACCATATTAACACTATAAGATCAGATAATCTCTTTTTGTTTTCAATCTAATGAAAAATGTCCAGTGTTGTTCACTGGGTACGATGTTAATGTAGGTTTAATCCTAATTCCTTGCATACTGAGGCATATTCTCAATAAACACCTATGCAGCCATTTTAAAATGTGGGTCTCATCTAGCAGGATGCCCTTTATCAAGGCTTAGATTTTTTTTGATGACTCTGCAGTGCCTTCGCATTTTATACATAAATTAGTCACGCAAGAGTGGGCCAATGCAAGCTGCTCCACCATACGTAAGAAGTCCACTGTATACTTAATTATTATAGTCTTATTTTTCTCAGCAGACACTTAATTTGTTGGATCTTTCTCCAAACTTCTTAGGTCACTTTTGAGAGCTGTGAGGAGCTTAAGCATCTACTTCTGCTCTTCTTCCTCTTGGCAGCTAATGCCCATGGTACTTAGCATTTTTTTCTCATACATTTATTATTAATATATTAGCATGAGCTTTCCTGGAACTTCACCTCCAGGAGTTCTCTGTGTCCTGAATTGACAGGGGATTCTTTTACAAAGATTCTGCAGTGGAGTTTAGGACCTTGGGCATGCTTCCAGCGCGAGTCCATCTTCATTTAAATTCTTGCTTGGATTTTTTTTTCATTAAGAGCAGCTTGTGGCCAAGAATTCTTAGAGGAAACTCTTTCATTACTCTCCCATGAGCTAGTGATGAGATAAGAACGTCTGTCTGCATGTACTGTCTTTATAACTCTGATATTGGTTTAACCTGTTTGGCCCTTGTCTCTGTAGAGAGTTCCCTAGCTCACTTTCCCACACTGCCTAGATCTAAGCTTTGATCTCCTATTCCTCAATGACACAGCCACTATCTCCAACTGCTAGGTCATTCAGACTTGCTGGAACATGCAGCTTCGATGACAGCACTGAGGACTGATCCTGGAGGTTTGCTCAGACGAGGCAACTGCTGTACGTCTTAGGCCCTTCTGTGTGCAATGAAATAAAATAACCATCCACTACTGTTCTATCTTCTTTCTCAGTCCCATAGAAACTTTTATATTGTCTAAGGAACCCCTCTGTGAATTCCCAACCCTCTTCGTGTCTTATCTGGTATTTCCAAATATTTTGTTGTGAAAGTAACTCAGGATATATAGTTCAAAATATAATTGGTAATTCAAAATTCAACATTGATTTTTTAGATACCTCAAATCACTAACTGTTTATTTTGCTCGTTGATAAATAAACGAGAAGGCAAGATAATAATGGCAAACAGGAAGTCACTATAGTCTAGTCCCGTAAATACTAAATATGCTCTCCAAGGGTTTTGGAAAAACAACTATGAAAAGTAAGGGATACATTTAATAAACAGTCTTTACCCCTTGTGACAGCTTTTCTTTCTTCTAGAATATTCCAGAGCATTTTCCCTAAAGACCTGGGGAAGGCACAGTCAATGGGTGAATTGTGAAGTCTCGTGTTCGGACCTCGCCAGTTCTGAAAGCTGTCTTTCATGAACAAAATAAAGCTTGAATGGATCAAAATGTTTCTTGGGAGTGATCCAGGTTTCACATGAAAGGTCTTTTATTTTACCGCATAGGAAAAGATCTCTTAGAAATTAAACATAACAAATTTAATCACTTGGGCTAAATTTCACAATTATACCAACTAAACGTATCTCATACATTATTGAACAGATTCACAGTTAAAGTTTTAACACAGCATCTGCATCTGATAACTGATCTGTAAATAATGTTATCTCCCTACATCGAAACCCTGAGGTAGCAACATCTTTGTAAGTCTTAAGTGCAGATATGGCTAGATGTGTTTGAGGACCAATCAAAACGGATGCTGCAAAGTCACTTTGGTTTCCTATCCTGTAGGTTTTCCTCCTGAGGTCCAAAGTGGCTTGATTGTCCTTCAGTTGGAGCACCAACTTCTATTAGCATCTCACTGAAAGAAGTTTATGCCTTCTATGATCTTGTGTGGTCCGCAAGGGATTCCTATTGGAATAAATGGGCCACAGAGCTGGATAGCAAGAAAAGCTGATCCTCACACAGCTTGGCCTCATAACTTCTGAATGCTACTTCCTGCATCAACAAGTAAAAAGATTTCAAAATAGCTACCAATGGTCACATGTTTCCTTCTCTCCCTACTTAGAAAGTAGATACCTTGAGACAGAAGTCACACTGACTTCTTTATTCCTCACAAGGCGGTTCCTGTATGTAGCACCAAACGAAACAGAGTTCAAATGACTAAACAATACTAACAAACTCGAAAGGTATTCTATGATTCGAATCTTCAGAAAAAGTTGTAGATATGGTTGAAACACTGAGCCAAAGAAGAATGTATACATAGTTAAGGGAGAAACTGCTCAGAAGTTAAGAGCATTGGCTGCTCTTTCAGAAAACAGGGATCAGCTCCTAGCTCCCACATGGCAGTTTACAACGGTCTGAAATTGCAGTCCCAGGGTATTTGACACCCTCTTCTGACTCTTCAGGCACAAGGCACGAGTGCACAGGCACATACAAATATGCAAACCACCCAAACAGGTAAGAATATGTTTAAATAGAATATACACATAGCATTGCTCATGGTATTAAGCATAAAGTATTCAAGGACCACGTCCCTCAGAGTAAAAATAGCAGCTGCCCAAAAACGAAAAAGAGATTGCAGCTATAACACAACTTTGTTGCAGAAATATCTCACATATTACTGTGAGTAAGAGAATGTGCCTTACCAACTTAAGGTAGCCATCCGCATCCAGAATTAAGTTCTCTGGCTTCAGGTCTCTGTAGATAATGCCTAGTCGGTGCAGATAGTCAAATGCTTCTGTCACACAAGCAACACAGAATTTGGAGGTGGGTTCATCAAAGCTGCCTCTGCAATGACATGATTTCTCCTCTTAATACTCTGAATATGTCCCTGGTGCAGTCCTTGGCATCTAGATTGTATTATAATCTACATGTGGTCGTGTGCACACACACTGTTAACCCAACATCTATTTACTTCCTTCCATCCTTAGCTCAGTGGGCCTCGGCCATGAGAGCACTGATAAGCCTTTAAACAAATGATTTACTGGACCACACCCCAGTAAAATGAATCATCACATGTAATATTAGGACAAACTGTCCTTGGCTTGTAAGAGTTCCACATGCAATTATGTCATGCAGCCAGGGTGGAGGACCACTATGCCAAGAAGAACATGGACTCGCCTGGACTCCTTTGCCTATTGCAGCACACCCTCGCATTCCTCTTCTGCTGTCCTGGTCTTCTCGATTTCTGTGGCTCAGAAGTCCACGCATTTCCTGTCTTGTCTTTTCCTGCCTCTCTGCCCTTCTGAGTCAGTCTTTGTCATCTTTGGGGTGTCTTTTGATTTACCGTTTCCTTACAAATCCGCAACTTCTCTGCCATTATCTAGCTTTCATATTAGTGGGATATTTTAATATCACCCCCCCTTTCTTTAAACAAACCCTAAACGTATTTTTCTAAAGTTTATACTTTTCTAACCTTTTACATGCAAAATTCTGCATTGTCTAGGAATCTTTTAAACTTTTACCATTATGCCTTCTACATAGTAGCTGCTTCATACAATCTGTAGTATGACTGCCAAAATCATTCCTTTAATAAAATCAAACCTCTGTAAACATCCCATTCTGCTTTGTTTGGTGAGGACCTAGTCAGTTCCCATCACACCCCTTGCTAGCATTCTGAATCTGAGTTAGCCTCCTCCTATCCTTGTGACCTTGGCTAGCTCATACATGCTGCATGCCTGAAACCCTTTAGTCCACACACTAGGATAGCAGATTACTTTACAAGACCCACATGTTACTTCTGTAATGTTAGCTAACAAAACCCACCAGTCACTACCCTGCTATATGTAGCAGGAGCATTTTTCTATAATTGTGTCATAGTACCATCCTCATAGCCCAGCCCAGATGTGAATTGGTAAGAGTTACTGCTTACAGCTCTTTTCCTTACCTGTCCCTTAATATACTCCACAGCTCCCCACCTAAGCAGGCCTCCAGAAGCATGTATACATATTTATTGTCCTTGAAAGTACGATACAATCTGTGGAGACAGATGAAAACAAATGATTAGCAATGTAGTCCTAACAACCTTGAAGCTGCTTAGGCTTCCATCAGCAACATTTGAAACAATGACTCTCATTTCCACATTAGCCCCTCTGGTAGTTTTAATATGCTTGACCCAGAGAGTGGCACTATTAAGAAGTGTAGCCTTATTGGAAGAAGTGTGCACACTGTGGGCATGAGCTTTCAGACCCTCCTACTAACCCCCTTGAAGCCAGTCTTCTAGCTGCCTTCAGATGAAGATGTAGAATTCTCAGCTCCTCCAGTACCATGCTTGCCTGGATGCTGCCATGCTCCCACCTTGATGATAATGGACTGAACCTCTGAACCTGTATGCATAAGCCAGCCCCGACTAAATGTTGGCCTTCATAAGAGTTGCATCGGTCATGGTGTCTCTTCACAGCAGTAAAACCCTAAGACAACATCCAACAGCTGCACAGGGCTTCTCACCAAAGCCTTTCTGATTATTCCTCGGATCTCTGACTTTCTCCTGTACTTACACAGCCCTGCCTCTGCCCATCCACAGACTGAACTTCCCCAGCTCCATTTCTTGAAAGGCTGAGCACCAGACCTCCTTCATCATAAATTGGCTCATTATGTCACCTATCAAATAGAGCCTCTCCTTCTTCCCCAAAACCACAGGCCAGTGCATGTATCACTTAACAGGTATCTTCCATAACAGTTCATTATACACATGTTGTAAGCTCCCTAATTGGTTAGCTAGTATTGGAACTACACTAGGAGACAAGCTTTGAAGTAGTAAGGCTAGTGGGAAATGACTTGGCAAGGACACCTAGAAGTGGGATGGAGTCTGGGTGAGGAGTATGTATGATTCACATTCAAAAAAGGCCCACTGCTAAGGAGGGCTATCGTATGGTAATTAGATGGTGGGTAAAGTGGTTCTGAGCATTAAACTCATGCCTGAGAAGGACAGAGATCCTGTGCTTAACCGGTGGAATACTCCAACCTGGGGCAGGAGAGTCTCAGCCCTGCAGCACTGTCACACTGGACAGTATGCCACACTCAACACTCGGGTGCAAATAGTTTCGGGTGTTCAGAACCTGTCTTAGGAGATGAATAGACGGCTCACCACTTGCTGCTCTCACAAAAGATGTAGGTTCAGTTCCCAATACCCTCAGAGCAGCCCCTAGTCTTCTGTAATGAGTTCCATCACCCTCTTTTTGGCCTGGGTGTGCGCTAGCCATACGTATAGTACACATACATACATGCAGGCAGACATTCGTGCACATAAAGTAAGGAAGGATGAATGAGAGGAGAGAAGGAGGAGAATGGGAATGAAGAGTGGGTGGGGAGAAGGACAGGGGAAGACACTGACCATTTTCTTGGTTGTTCCACACCCAGAGGAAAGCAGCCAGGAGAGCTGACAGATAACGCACAATAGGAGAACTACAGTAAGTTGTCTCTTTAGGACCTGTGTATGGTGGCGCGGATTTGTAATCACGGCACTTAGGAGCAGGAAGATTTCTGTGAGTTCAGGGTCATCCTGGACCTCATAGTTAGTACCAGGCCAGTCAGAGAGGAAAAGCGTTTCAGAGTGTGGGCTCCAGAGACAAAACCCAGGCTAGATGTCACATGGCACGCCTATTGGGTCTTTCCTGTAGGCTGCACATCACCAGAAGTCACTGAAACTACACGTAGGGATTGTTAATAGGTAAATGAAAATTTAAACTGGCTTATATCGGTGGGGTGATGAATATGCAAGTAAAGATGGAAATGGCCTAGATAGTCTCTCTCTCCTCCAAGCTGCTAACGAGTCCAGAGCAAAAAGCAAAGGTACTTTGAACTTGTAGTACTAGGTATGTCCCTCTTTGGTAACTCTGTGTGTGTGTGTGTGTGTGTGTGTGTGTGTGTGTGTGTGTGTGTGTACAAGTTAGCAAGCTTTCCTTAGGATAGAAGCAATTGAAAACTCCTACCCATGATCCCGTATGAGAATTCAGGGTGACACTCCCTGGAACGCGCACTGCATACTTACTTCACGATGAAGGGAGAACACAGCTCCTCCAGGATCCGCTTTTCTGAGTACACGTGTTCTTGCTGCTTTGTATCAACAATGTGCTTCTTCCTTATACACTTCATGGCAAAAGCAACATTCTCATTTTTAACTTTAACCTATGAGAGAAATGGAAGCATTCTCATACTTAATGTAACATGACAATTTGCAATGTGTAATATAACATATTAATTAATGAAAGAAACTGTTTTACATTTAAAGAGTATATTAGCTTTTAACCATATATTTCTCAAGAATTGATTTCTATATAACTTTATACACTTCCAATCATTTTCAAAATACTTCATATAACTTGGTTCTAAAATTTTTCTACTGAAATAAGAAAATAAATTCTCAATAAATTTCATTAACAGAAATTTTCGGTTTTCATTGTATAACATGATCAACTTTGATAGGATTTGCTAAGGCTTCTTATTTCTTAATATTCATCTCTAATTTTCAAAACTCATATCAAATTAATTTTATATCTGTCCTATTCAATGGGCAGCCTACTAATTGTATGAAGTTATTTAAATTTAAATTAGTTAAAAGTAGAAATTCATTTCCTTGATTGTATTAGGTACAGTTCCAAAGCTCAGCAAACACATCACATAACAGAAGCATATATCCATCATGGTAGAAATTTGTATTGGAAAGTAAGAGAAGGCCTTCTCTGCGCGCAAAATCAGAACTTAATATTAAAGGTAAATCAGAATAGAAAAAAAAAACCCTCTCTTTTCCTGATAGACATAAAAACCATAAGCAGACAATGCTGCATAGTAAATGGCAATTGGAAATCTTATATCCCCATCACTCATATTTATCACTTGTAATGTCTATAGACTTTTAAATGACTGGAGGAATTACTTCTTCAGTCGTTATTATCTAGGAAAGCAGATCTCAGCATTGTTAATTCAATCTTTTAGCTGTGTTCTCGGATGGAAAATACCAGTGCACAAGAATATCTGCATAGAGCATAAGATTAATTACAAATATTCTTTGCCCTGTCAGGAAAATGTTTTTCCCTTCATCCATCAGAGATGAGTTTGGAGTGGGTGTGACTTGTTCTATCACGGTCTGTAGCAGCATTCCACAGCTGCTCATGTCCAGCCATCCTGCAGACAAAGGCCTCCACATAGCCCTAGGAGGTCACTGTACAGTGAACTGTTAAAAATCGCCTGGGCAAAGAAGGGCTTGGTGATTGCCTGGGGCTCAGAGCCATCTGTGCCCCAAACGAGCACAGTTGTCTATTGCACAGTTTTCTCAGAACACTTGCTCTAACCCAGGAACTTTGCTACTTCTTGGGAGCTGATTATTAAGCACAGTAAGGTAGTGCTAACTGACGCCAGGCTCTGGCTCCCAGCTGTCTGTTGAGTTCTGCAGAAGGCGGCTGCTCTTCAAACATTCTCTTGCTTTCATTCTTTCTTGTTTCTCTGATGGAAAATTTTACATAACCCCAAAGCAGGGTAATGAAAGCCAAGCACAGACACAGAAGTAGGGTTCTTAAGGAATATTCCTATAATATTAAGGATTCCACCTAGGGTATTTCTGCTGGCCACTGCAGAGAGATTCAGGGTTTTGACTGTACACCTCTATGCACATGTGAGTGGTTGTTATGAAATACATTTTTTTCATTTCATAATCTTGCAGAATGCCTACTCGGCACATTCTCCAATAATTACTATCAAGAAGGATTCATCAAGGGATGTGACGTAAGATCACTCAATTACTATTTTCAAGCACAAATAGATGAAAACGTTTACTTCCTCAGACTCAGAACTTGAAGATAGCAATGATAACTCATCTATTCCTCCAACCTAAGCTGGGATAGAAAACAGAACAAAACAAAAAGTCAAAATGCTTCTCTCAGATGCTTGAAACGTAAACCCCTTACAAGCTCCACTCTTCCGAACCCACCAACGCCCAGTGTTGCGATAATCTCAAGGTTCTGGAATGGGGAGGTTGAGGAGAATCTGGCCACCTTCTCTTTCAGCTGAATCATCTCCAGAGAAAGGGCTTTGGACAACTTCCAGCTAGACATGGAGCGCCTGAAGAGAGAATCAAGAAGTCACACACACACCCTGAGCTGTGCTGGTACCCTGCCAGTCACAAACTCTACTCTCACACTGTCTATCAGTGTCACAAAGACTGTCTCAACCTTTGACAGGGATGTATTTGATCATACCTGGAATCACTCAGCAGGACAAAAGTCAAATTCAATGAAAATAGAGGGATTTTGTAGCGTTTGAAACTCATGTCAAAAAAGCTGTTAATCAATAACCCAGGTGAGGAGTCAGTGGAAGAGAACAAAACTAGTCATGTTTGCCATTCCCAGAAGGCCACACTGAGACTTTCTGCTGTTTGTCACCAAAGATTTTCACACCTTAGGCAAAATGACTGCTTCATCGGACATGAACAAGTCCTCTTATCTTACATCTAAGTGCTGCTGTTCATAAATACATGTCTCATTTTTGAGTTAAAAGTAACTGTTCTGAGTTCTATATGCGCAAATTGTTACTCTAAAAGGCTGTAGGCACAAAGATCGAAGGTGCATATCTTGGAGAAAAATAAAGTTCTGACTGAACACTTTAACTCAAAATTTAGTCTTCTAGAAATTTTGAGTGTACCTCATCAGAAGCCTGTCTCAAAAACATAAGCTTCAGTTTTCCCTCCTCATGCCTTAAGGTCATGCCTTAAGGATAACTCATCTTCAATGTATGGAGACCTTGGTTCAATTCTCAGCACAAAAATATTACAATAAAAATTTAAATGTTTTATCACATAACAAAACATTAAAGGAAAGTTCTCTATTTCTTTTCTTTAAAAAAACTATTAGTAATTTGAAGATGTCAACTCAACCCTTCCTGCTCACAAATACATCCTTGGAAACTTAAAAAAAAATCCAGCTATAATCTTGCTCTTTACCTGTAACCATGTCTTTTTGGAGTAAGTTACCATTCTAAAGTATTCTCTTTATCAGAAAAGTTCTCTCAAATTCCTACTCAATATTCAAAGTGTTTACTTAGAGGCTTTAAAACTCCCCATTCTAGAGTTGAGACAGTGTCTCCAGAATCCTCTAGCAAGGGCACATGGAGGGTCACTCTTCGGAGAATTGCAACCTGTCCCTGTTGCCATGGGCAGGGAAACCCGTCTCACTTACTTTGCGTGTCTTTTTTCATCATCTCGGTTCAGGTTGGCCACATACCCCTCAAGGTATTTTTGGAGTTCATCAAATGTCCCAACAGTTTGGTTGAATGTTCTAAATAAAATGAGACAAAGTGGTTCAATGTGAAGGTATCAAGATAATTTAAGACTCTTCATTCCCATGTGTGTGGGGGAGGAGGGGTATACATGTGTGTGGCAGCCTAGCTTTGGCTATGATTACTCAAGAGCTGTCTACCTTTAGGATGGGGTCTTACCCTGGCTCGGAGCCTGCCAATTAGACTCAGCTGGCTGGCCAGCAAGTCCCAGAGACATGGCTCCCCCCACGTTCCTAATGGTGGGGTTACAAACACATATCCCAATGTCTAAAATTTGTATATGGGTTCTGGGGGTAGAATTCAAATCCTTGTGGTTACACAGCAAACACTTTGTTGGCCAAGCCATACCATCCCCCAAGGCCGACAGTTTTATTCAATGTGCATGCACACACACACACACACACACACACACACACACACAAAGCCCTGAGCTGTCCCCCAAACCCAAAGCTCTCTGAATGTTTGTTTCAACTTTTAAACTGCTTTTCAGTGTTATGGAATATTAAATTTTTTGTAACTGTGACTAGTTATTGGAAGTTCCATAGCTGATCCCTTCTGTTAAGGACACACAGGTACTCTCAGCAAGGTAGCATTGTCTCCGCACTCCTGCCTTGCCATTCTCCAGGTTTCTGCAGCTACAAGGCTCTAGCTGTAACTTCAAACAAGCTGTCCCCACTCAGATGTTAGACCTCAAGGAGTAACTTATCAACCATTTGAGATTTTCCTCCACCATCCATGGTCAAGATGTCACCAGGAAGTGTGGGCTTTTTAAAAATAGAGTTATTGTTACCTTACAGTTAATTCACATGTTTTCTCACAACTTAAAAAAAAACCCTCAAACTATATTCTTTGGTTCTATAATCAAGAGTTTGTGTAAAATTGGGAAACAGGGAAGGAGAAATAAGGATCTATAGATTTGCTGTCACTCTTTTTAAACATAAGTATGGCACCCTTTGTCAAGATGCCATCTGGTAAGGACTGTGGCAGACACTGGCTCTGTAGTCACCATGTACAAAGGACATCCTGTGATCATGAGGCTAGCGGGAGGCTGGTAAGGCAGGTGCTTTGTAAACTAAACTGTGAGTCTACATAATGTCCTAAATGGCTCTATTCCTGGGGTCTAATCTATTTCTTTAGTCATAACTAGAGAAATCAATAATCATCTATCATTTTCCATCTAAAGTGGAATAATGTTCACAGGGCAATGAGACACCATTCAGAGATACATGACCCCACTGACCACTGAAATCTAGGTTGTACATCAACCTACGTGTAACTTATGGTTCATCTATCTCACCTCTGATGTACATAATGCTGCCTCTTTCGTTGTATCAGATGTACTTCCCACCCCTCATTAATATGCATGTAAATTAAACTTGCAAACGACATAAAATTATTACATGTCTTCCATAGACTCTGAGGGACTCTCTCTGACATATATGATTATAGATAAAGATCATTCATCTTTTTTCTCACAGGTTTAAGCTCCTGGAGCAATTACAGCATAGCTAATGTTATTCAGCACATGTGCATTTTTAAAGAAACTCATAAAAAGCAAATGTGTTATTGGGAAGATATTGAACTAATACATTTTCTATCTGACAGCTGTCATGCAAGAATTGTATGCATCTAAGTACATTTTAAACTTTCTCGTCCCTGTGCCTTTGCTGTTTACTTCCCCTCGAGTGAGTTCTACATTTTCTCTTTGCTTAGAAAAAGTCCTGTTTTGAGGCCCCTTTCCAGACTTAAAAATCAAATAAAGCCCTTCCCACTCCACAGCTTCATGATTGCTTCTTTTTCTCCCATGTTGCTATGGGAGCCTTGGGGCATGGTGGCCGGATGCTGGAATGAGTCAGGAAACCTGGGCAGTAGCCCCCATCCAATCACAGAGGGCACTGAGAGGGAAGACCTTTAACCTACTTGGGTTCACTTGTCTTATCTGCAGGAAAGAATCAGAATAGCTTAGAGAAGTATTAAAATTACAGTAAACTTTTTATATATCTTGGCACTAGGATTGTGCGGGTTTACACGTATAGAATCTGGCTTTTAGAGACAATAGAGAAATCTATAGACAAAGTAATTGTGGGTTTTAAATTTCTTTGACTGTACTATGAAGATGGTATGAATCTCTGGAGGGGTTATTGGTTAGCCATGCACTGACAACTGACAAACATGCCCTATGAAGTTGACAAGGTCATTCTCCTTCCGTAATTGAAAATTTCCCTGATAGATGTTCTGATATCCTCCCCAGTGCTTCACATCTAGGACTCCATGTTCACTAAATGGTATAGACAATTAGCCACTGACCATATTCCACTGTTAAACCTTGCCATTTTACTGATTTTGTTAATCTTTTACAAGAGTATGCCTTATTTCTTTTGACGACACTATGGCTTTACATAAATGATAGTTCTGTTTTTGTTTACGTGACTTATATTCTTTGGATTGGCTACATAGCCAGTGAATATTTAACTAATCAATGAAGGGTGCAAGGTGCCAGGTTAAAATGGGCTTTGAAGTAGAGAAGGATATAAAGTGACACTTATGTTTAGAAAGTAACCTAAAAACAGTATCAATATTTGTGTATATTAATAAAAATTACTACAGATGGCCCTGTCTCTCTGGAATAACTAATTAGTGACTATTTCTACTTCACAAGAAGATTCTGGGTTGGGGAGATGGCTCAACAGTTAGCTGTTCTTGCAGTTCCTTTCAGTTAGCTGTAAAGGACCCATATTTGGTTCCCAGAACCCAAATCAGGTGGATCACAACATCCTGTAGCTCCAAGTCCAAGGATCGGAAGCCCTTCTTGTCTCCTTGGATACTTGCTCTCATAGGGCATGCCCAGAGACACACAAATAAATCCATAAAAGCACTAACAAACTGAGTTCCCTGAAAGACACGGAATTTAAATTAGCCCATTGCTGATAATTATGTATCAACTTTGCACACAAAATATTTAGCCTGCCAGCATCTGCCACTGCAGAGACAGACTCTGATCACAAGGCCCAGTTCCTGCTCATGAATTTTAATGGCATGTACTTGCAGTTGAGTATTGGCCAGCATTTCCAAGTAGTGATGAATCTGAAAACAGAGAGGGCCTTGGAGTAACAGATGCCAAGTCTTGGAAAGTAACAGGTGCCTGCCTTCTCTGACACTCACTCTCGGTCTATCACGAGGCATGCGACATCATTTTCTTCTGCAATTATATTGGCTGATCTGACATCATCACTGCAAATGGAAAAGGGAAGTCAGTTTTCACCACAATTAGAAATTAAAAGTCCGTTTTGGTTAGGAACCTACAACTTTATGTGAATTCATACCCAGTAGCTAAGGCATCCAAAGACTGCATGGATTTAAAAAAAAAAACACAGTATTTTATATCCAACCCTTCTAAAATACAGATTTGAAATGTGCCCCAATAAAGGTTGTGTACACGAAAAGTTCGGGGAAGGTAACTGTATTCAGAGCCTGAAAGACTCACCAACTGCAATACAGAATCTCATTCGTGTTTGTCACAGTCAGAATAGAAGAGATCTCCCCCATCAAAGGAGAATCACAAATGAACAAGGAGGCAGCACAGAGATCAACAGATCAGAGAAATGTACCAGGAAATGGCCAAGTACATATACTACAACAAAGCAGTTAAAATGGAATCCAGGCTTGTGTGCACAGAGCTGTAGCAACAAATTAACTGAATACTGAAACACTTTCATGCCATAGGATAGAAAAATGGATTTCCCCCCTCAGGAAAATCTCTGATATTAGTATCACTTAAAGATAAACCATGGCAAAATTAGCACTGTTACCTTTCCGGTACATAATGCAGCACAGATTCTTACCAAGAACTTCTTAGATATGAGTTGCATATGAGCTGAAGGCAATATAAATGTCTAAGTAATATTGATGTGTCAAGAATCAGGTAAAGTCTTTCCTCATATTGACTTATGTATTGATTTTCTCCCTCTATTAGTTATAAATTAGAGTCTAATGAAAGGCACAGACATAGTATCCAGTGCTCAGAGACTCACTTAAGAGTAACCCAGGAGTACCAACAAAATGTGGGCATCACAGGGACAGCTATGGACAATTCCATGAAAAATACCAACTATGTGTTCCTTGGCATGTCGTTAGTGGGAGGACAGAGAAAATTCAGGCACCCCGTCTCTTGTGTGCCCAAGGAGCCCCTTTTCTTTCTAGATGAAATCCAAAGACCATCTTATGTAGTTTACAGTTGGTCTTCAGTTTATAGGGTTCCTGCTAGAGGATATCAGTGAAAATAATTGAGTCTTGGGGAATTTTAGGCAGAGGTAGGATAGCTTTGGATCAGTTTACACAAGCAATTAAAAGCAGACTGTGTAACAGAGTTATAAATACTGGTAGAAGCAGAAGCGGAGTAGAGGGAACCAAGTATGTGTGGACTCACACAGGCACAGGCACAGATATGACCTTGGGTTCTGAGTTCAGAGCAAGGGCCTGCTTACGGCATTTGCCTTACAGGTGCACCCCATGATTGTCACACAGATCATTCTCGGCACACACTACAACAGGGTCCCACATGTGCCTTCAAAGTAACTGTCTGTTAAGTGCCATGGATTCATTTTTATGAATAAAATTCTGAAAGAACTCCTGAGACCATTTAATGTCATTTTGAAAACATGAAACGGAAGCAGGGCTGAGAGCCGCCGTCAGCAGTCTTAAAACATAGGGTCATAAAAATGTGCAAAAAAGGAAAAATACGTGTATCAATATTTCCTTCCCATTCATTTTAGCTTTGTTCTTTCAGGTGCTTCGGGGAGCTGGTTGTCTGTGTTAAACATAAATCCTTGTGTTTCCTATAGGAAAAGCACTATAATTGGCTGGCTGCAACAGACAGCACAAATTACCTCAGGTCCAGCAAAACCAGACACCACACTAGCTCTCAAGAGAAACTTAATATCTATACTCCATTTATAGACTCTTTTGTATCTGCAAGGTTTGTTTGTTTTGCTTGAATGTGGGAAGGTAATTATGATAGTGCAAAAAAAAAGATAATTTCATTATTATCAAAGTAAGTTCATTACCAGCTAGAAATTAAGGAAGAAAAGCCCAGTCTGCCTTTAAATCCTACTTGGAAATTGCTTACATAATAGCTAAAGCCCAGTTTATTATGTTTTACTATTTCAGCTCTCTTTGAAAAATAAGAGATGTAAGGATTTTAGATAATCAGATGTGTCTCTGGGTAATTGTGGAGTGCTTTCCCTCCTGCTGTAATTATGCAGCCTGTCATGCAGATCAGCCGAACAGGAGTTTCATGGGTGAACGGGAAGAAAACAGAGTGGAGAGAATTGAATCTGTTCTTCAATAACTCTTCTCTTCAAACACAAACTTGCAATAAAACCATTCGGTGGTGATGTAAAATTTAAGAGCTTCCTAAATAACTGTCAATTATTTACTCAAAAACATGTTACTCCAAAAATGTGCCTTTCTCTGAACTCTATCTTGTTATTTTATGAAGCTATTTTTATTCAGAAAAATTATTTCTTTCTATGTGGGGATTTGTTTGTTTTGTTTGAGGAAGTACAACATTTCTCTCAAGCCACTTCTCAACTTTTAAAAACATATTTCCATGTAACATAGGTCAATTGTAAATAAGCTTATGCTTCAAAAGAGAGACAGGTCACATAGAAATTCCAGATACACTGTTTTGAGCTGATGCTAAAACTTGCAAATTGAGCTCATAAGAAAGTTCCTAAAAATTATTTTTGACATGATGTTTTAAAGATACTCAGTGTATAAAAAGTTTGTGACATTTTAAAAAATTCTATTCAATTATTTAATGTATGTGTGTTTGTGTCTGTGTGTGTGTCTCTCTGTGTGTGTATTTGTATGCCATGGCACACATGTGAAAATCAGAGGACAGTCTAGGGGAGTCAGTTCTCTCCCTCCACCATGTGGATCCTGGGGATCAAACTCAGGTTCTTAGATTTGGCTGCAAGCCCCTCCACCCACTAGCCCTTCTTATCAGCTCTCTTTTCACATTTTAATAAAAAGGAAAATTGTTGATCAGGATATTTTTTGTAAACCACAGCAATGTAATAGCTCTCTCTAACATTGTTTGGCTAATAATTCCCTTGCTTTACAGACTTTTACTAATGTTTTTTAAGCTAAGAGTTAATCCAACACCATCTTGATCCTACCGATGTAAGACTTTCCAATTTCTTCTTGTGCAAACGTAGTGTATGGGTAGTTTTGAGATGGAAGGCAGTCAAAGCCTTATGTCTGAGTGTGATGTATGAATCCATGGACTCACCTGATCAGAGCCTTTTCTCCAAAGTACTCTCCTTTCTGCAGTGTTTTGATCAACTGTGGCTGATCATGACCTTCTGTGCTCTGTGTGACTTTCACCTAGAGGAAGAGAAACATTCAAAGCAGAGACCAAGTAAACGAGTGGTCTGAATGCACAGCTGTTACCCAAACACACAGAACTATCTGAAGAAGGGAAAAGAGGAGGCCACATTAGTGGTAGAGTAGTCAGGACAACACACTATACTCTGCTCTGGCTCAGGCAGGAATGAGACAACCCTCTGTAACAGGAGAATCTCTTCCCAAACCAACCATTCAGGTCACCTCTCAAAGTCAGTTTTTATTTGTGTTTTTATTTATTTTGATTTTTGAGGCAAGGTTTCTTTGTATCACCATGGCTGTCCTGGAACTCACTATGTAGACCAAGCTAGCCTTGAACTTGGAGATTTGCCTGACTTTGCCTCCCAAGTGCAGGGATTAAAGGTATGAGCCACTATGCCTGACTCCAAAGGACAATTTTAAGAATATAAGTCCAGTGATCCTTCCTGAGAGATTCTCAAAGCAAATAATCTTAGTCTAATAGGGATTTCTGTTGCTTCAAAAAATTCTAACAGACTTGATGAATTAATCAAAAATCAGCCTAAGGCTTGTCCACAGGTAGGCTATGTCATATAGACCTCCAAAACAATGCAAAATGATGCTATGGAAGGGCTCACAACTCAGTGTCCATTTCAAAGTGAACCACAGCCTAGGAGGGTACAGCACAGAAACTCAAACTTACAGTGTTCTCTATTTGAGCTAGAATTAGTCCTCTTTAATATGTTATTAGGCATTGTGGCATTGTTCCATGTTGTCTAGAGCTCGTGATTGATATTTACGTGTTTTACCATGAATTAATATTTTGAACTGCAATTCCTATATTAGCCAGAATTCTCTCAAAGAATGAGACGTTGCCTGTTGAGCTCATTCTCCTGTATTGCTCATCATACCTGTTATAGTGAAACATTATTTGAGGCCCATTCTTGGCCATTGGGCTGACTGACAATCAGATCCTCATTCCTAAAAAGGGACTCTAGAAACAAACCAGTCACTATAGACATTATACACAGTGAGGCTTCCACAGAAAATAAAGTAACCTGTGTGCAGTTACTGGCAAAGAACTATGTCACCTGTGGTCAATCAGGAGTATTCTGTGCACTCATCTCCAAAGCTGGGCCTCTGAGAGAAATCCAGAGACTCTAACAGAGACGTCTCATCTCCCTTCAGTCAGGGGCTTCCTCCAGAGCCACACAGAGCGTCACTACACTGTCAGTACATTTAACCCAGCACAGAGTTTCTTTGACTTAAGCTTTACTTAGAATTTACCTTTCCTTTTGCCAAAATGAAAAAGGTGCTCCCTTCTTCTCCTTCTCTGATGATATAATCTCCTTTGTCATAGTATTCCTGTTGGAATGAAGAAAAACAAATAAAACATCAGATCAAGTCAATGCCTATGACTGAAGACATACAGGAAACAGAGCCCTTTGTGTCTTTGAGTGAGTGTGGACTGCCTATGAGCTTACCCTACCTGTCATTAATGCTGTGGTAAAATTAAAAAGTGTTGCTTTATTGATCAGCTAGAAGATCTGTGTGTGTTCTTATCTTTTCTCAGAGAACCTTCACTTGGCAATATTCACTTTCAGTTACAGAGGGCAGAGATACGGTAAGAAGAGAGAACAAGACGACAGCCAGGAGTACAGTGTATCTCACCTCTGGCTGAACTGTAATGTCCAGTAACTGTCTAAAGAGTAGGTCAGAGGTTCAGAAAGGAACGCATGATTGAATGATAGCTTGAAAATACTCCCAGTGGGTATGAGGAAGGGCAGCCTCCGTTTCTAACTCTGTGAAACACCAATACCTAGAAGGAGTTCATATACACAACAGGTAGCTCTGCTATGTGCATTGTTTCTAAAGGGTCTTCATCAGAAAAGGTCTGAGCAACATCAGAACCTACATGTGCAAATTCCTGCTTTAGTGTTGATTTATCCTCATCAAACTGCAAATGATAACTTCTTTCTTCCTTTTTTTGTATTAATTTTTCTGTCTTTCACACATAGTTGTGTGATTGGAGACTTTTTGGTGAGAAAGAAGTATCCACTTGTCAGAGCAAAAGAGCAACCCAGCATCATGGGACACAGATCATACTGACCCCCCTCTATGTTGTCTTAGTTTGAAATTGTTTCAATTCAGAGAAGATGGATTTTGTAATGATTTCTACAACAAAATTGACAACATAATTTCACTCATTTGTTTCCTTTAGACTGGAGAATAAATTCTAAACTAAACTACTTTAATGTGTTTGCTTTTCAAAACCTTCCTGGTCATTTAAGTATGAACATTATTCCTCACATCAATGAAGACACATTTTATTCTCATAATACTGTATACACTTAATTAGACATTTCAATATCTTTCAGAAAGATACACGAAGCCAAAAGAACCAGACCCTAAGGCCAGTTCTACGTGGCATTGCTTTTAAATGAATACATCAGCTGAGAATCTTGATCTTCAAAGCTATAGAAGTGTGTTAGCTTTTTGTAGTTTCTAAAACCAGCAAGCCCAGACCTAGTGGCTTAGAGTAGCCACCTTTGGTTAGCCTAATGTTTCTATGGATCAGAAAGTCCTAGGACAGAGAAGAGCAGCTACTTGAGCTCTTCCATGATTGAGTTTGAGGTATTAGTAGGGACTGCATTCCATCCTGAAACCTCCAGGTACAGGAAATCTGTTTCTAGTTCACTGTGATGATTGACTGAACTGGCTTGTGGGGAGAGATGGCATTTCCTTCTCGGCTGTCAGTGGGGAGTCAGCAGGGCTTCTCTGAGCTCCTCTGCCTGCCACAGTCCCTTTGACATCTTAGAACAAGCATGGCATGTGGGATTCTTACTCATAGATTCTTCCCTAGTTTCCACTTGTGGGAACATAGAATGATTCTCTTCTTTCAAGGACTTCTGTAATTATATTCAGCCGATCTAGCCAAGAAGAGATTGGGTGTGGCCGTGTGTAAGTACAATTCTGTATACCCCCGTAAGAATGTTTTCTGAAAAGATGGAAACATCTTAAACATAGTGAATGTTTATTTAATAACTAATGTATTAAGGAATAAAACTGGGGTATGAGCTTTACGGCCACATCTCTGAACCTCAATTTGTTCTTCTGTATCTAAGGCATTGTCTGAAGATGAAGTAGAAGTGTTCATGAAATACATGGTAGATTTTTTGGTGTACACCAGGAACCTAGCTACTGTTTATTTCTGTGACAAGGCTGCTTTCTGACACTCAGTGTCATCTATGGCTATCCAAGGAAGTGATGCTTCTGTTGTTAGTATTAACCATTCAGTTAAATTATGTCCTAAAGAATAAGGCAGTGGTAATGCATCTGACTTCCGAGCCAGACCCATGAACCATTCCATGTGCACATCCTTAATGGCATGGCCTAGAGGGACTTTGAAACCCATTTGCTAAATGAAGATGGCAAAGTAGCCATCAGTTTACATCCCCAGATGACCGGATGAACCTAACACACCCCCTGGACTGGTCTGTGAATGAGAGATGAATTCTGTTTTACACAAACAATGAAATTTTACATTCACTTGACTTAGCCCAGCTCTTCATTTTTTTCTTATTTCATACTTTTCAGAAGTCTTCTCTATGGAGATGCTCCATTCTACAGTGCCAGTAACTATGACCCTTTAGCAATGCAATCCAAGGTGTCCTCCTCCTGTAACTAATTAAAATACCAATCACTTCAGTAAAGTAGCAATGTCCTGTCAGGTAGACCATGGCTGAGGATGTCCCTTATTCCCATTCCCATCTGGGTCCCCATCACACACATGGAGCAGAAACGACATGAGAAATTTCTGACGGGCTACTAGGCTGTTCTTGGACTATTACAAAACCTCTTACATGTGCAGAGGTGTGGTTTTAATTCCTGACAACCAGTAAGTTTAGAAGGTACAAGCTTGAAAAGGGAACATTGAGAAAGAGCCTTATTATTTCTTAAAGGGTAGCTTCCCCAGTGGAATCATCCCAGGAATGGTTCTTTGTCACCTCAAACCATGGAAGGAAGGCAAATAATACCTCCCAGTGTGTCGACAGTAACTCATGGATCAGGAAAGGCTGTGGAAATAGGTCAGACCAAAAATATACAGTGGCGACAACTGGCCGTGAAGCTAGACTGACTGCCCAGTATTTGTCAACTGGGGAGTGCTGCCAGTCAGACCAGGGCAGCTACCGCAACCAAAAGGAGAAGAGCAAACAGTGCGGTGACTGCCCTGCGGTTACATTGCAAAGGGTCCCTTAGAAGACCAAGAAGCCACAGGCTCTACCCTGTGCAGAGTTTGTTTTCTAGCATGTTCCCCGAAATAAGGAATTCACTTCACATGTTTGCTTGATATACCCATAAAGGTACACACACATAGACACTTATGGAAAATATAAACTGTCTTTGAAACCATAACTACACTAGCTCCTTTGATTTTGCAAAACTGTTCCACGGAATCACTTCCGTGAACTACTATAGTAATGATCTACCACCCACGGCCTGAAAAAATGTCTTTAAAGGAAGATGCCTTGAAGCCCGAAGAGAGATGTAACATATGTGAAAAAAATAAAAAGAAGGAAATGAATTTGAGAGCAGACTAGAAAACAATACAAATGGACGATGGCCTCCACAGGCCTTATTTTTCATTGTGAGGAAGACAAGCTTTTTGTGCTGATGTGGCAACAGGCAAGAAATTGAGTTTCTATACAGAAAACATAAGAACTGGGAAGAAACTCAAAGCCCAGACTTCCTGACTGTTAGACATCTGCATGCAGCTTAGAACAGACAACACCTGACCAAACAGTTTGGGGGGGGGTATTCAGGGCAAGGTGTGGAGAGAGAGATAGAAGATGGCAAAGAGAGAGAGAAGTGGAGGCCAGCCATGACCACATGGAGAGAGGGGGAAGGGGAAGGGGGGGAGGAGGGGACAGAGAGAAGCTAGAGGCAAGAGAGCAAGAGAGATCAAGAGAGAGAGCAGGGGCCAAGCAGCCCCTTTTATAGTGGGCCAGGCCTACCTGACTGTTGCCAGGTAACTGTGGGGAGGAGCATACCTGGCTGTTGTGGAGGTGGAGTTTAGACAGAATACTAACACTGGCAGTATAGAGTTTGTGCTATGAACGTTCATTGCAAAGAAGTGTTGATGACAGGTAAGATTAACACATATACATGCACACACATACATAGAAGCACACATGTACAACTCATTCTCGAAACCTGTTTATAGAGCTGGGGAGACAGTTCAGGCAGTAAGGTGGTCATCTTACACAAGCCTGAGTAACTGAGTTTGATCCCCCAGAGTCCATATTTTTGAAAACTAAATATGAAAGTGCTTGTTCTAATCCCAGCACTAAGGAGGCAAAGGCAAGTGGATTCCTAGAGCTCCCTGGGCAGCCAGTTTAGTCTATTCTGTGCATTCAGGCCAATGAGAGACCCTGATCAAAAGAAAAGGGGGTTGGTGCCCAAGGAATGACACCCATTGACTGTCCTCTGACCTCCTTACACATGCACATACACATTTGTTCACACCTATACACTCACCTGGACTACACGTAACACACACAGAGCACTCATCCAAAGTACATATAACACACAGAAAACTGTTACCCAAACTACATATAACATATACACAGAGAGACTAGACTTTGCCAAACATGATCTAAAATGGAAATCTCTGAAAGGAAGAAGCAGACCATGGCATACTCTACAAAGCAGGTTTCTCAATCCGTTTTCACACCTCAGTACTTCTCAGACCTTAATGAGCATAAGAATCCCACTGGTAAAATGTTAAAACTGTGAAATTGGCATTCTCTACATTTTCTACCAGTTTCTGATTCAGTATGTGTGGGGAGGTACCTGGGAATCTGCTTTTCTATTGGCAACCCAGATCTGCAGAAGGATAAAGGCATTCACATTACTGTACCCCACCTCCCCTGCCACAACCAGAGCTCTAGGAAAGGCGCAAACGTGGGTGTCAGCTGTGGTGTCTGTACTAAAGGCCACTGGGTCAGATTCCAGAGCCCTACCCTACACAGTCTCATGCTTTGCCCTGTTACCGACATGGAAGCAGACACTCTTGCCACCCCCCCTTCTTCATGACTGCCCAGATACGCAAGGCATATTAGAGTTTTCATTATCATATCCATCGTCACCCCACTCCAAACTTGCATCCTTCTTTAAGACTGTCATTAGCTAAATCCTAAAGCATAGCAGTGACTGTGTGCCACTATTCCTATGTGTGTGGTCTGGTCTGAATGTGAGCACAGTCTTGCAGAAGATGGCTGCCTCCCCAACTCGGTGCTCTGGGAGACATGTTCAAGAAAGCTGATAAAAAAGAAAAGAGAAGAAAATAAAACAAAACTGAAGTATCAGAGCCACTTGGAGTTGGAGTTCACAGTCTATGTTTTAAACACAAAGGATCTGAATGATAATGAGGACGTGCTCATTTCTAGGTATGGTAGAGTGGACAGGTTTTATTGTAGATGTACGGGAGAGTACAGCCAAAGGCATCTGGAAGAATCCAGAGCAAGGGGAGAAAGACTAGACTAACATAACTGAACCGGGCCATTTGACTAAAGAAGGGCAAGGGCAAGAGAGCCACACCAGGAGGGGTGGTGGGAGAGAGAGAGAGAGAGAGAGAGAGAGAGAGAGAGAGAGAGAGAGAGAATGAATAAGGATCAAAAGAGACAGTAGCCTAAATGGCAAACTTGTATAGGAATGGGAAGCTGGGAAAAGGGAAGTCCCGCCCTTAAGGGCCCCGCCCCAGAAGCCCCGCCCCTGGGCTGAAGAGGTTTAGAGACCAGGGTGTGAAGAGCTAAGAGGAGCCACTAGTAGTGAGTGCTTTGTCATGTTAAAAGACACCAGAGTTAATCCTGAGTTTCTTTGGAACGTGTCAGCTCTACTGCTTGGTACAGGAAACTCTGATCCCCTTTTCTCAACCTTTCTCCCCAAACACAAAGAAAAACTGGCTTCCCTACCAACCTCTAAGCAGCATTTCAGACAGCTCTTTTCTCAAAAAAGCATGGAGATGAATTGCAGGGAACTCAGCCAGTGCTTCATCACAACTCCCTGCACTGGGAGGTTGACTGTGGGGAGGATCTGTTTTGTAAATTGCTCACTTTCCTCAGAACTAAACAGACTCCATTACTCCCTTGCTTATCATTTCCACGTCTGAGGATTTTCACACATGACAGGGATGAATTTGTTTGCCAGGTGTGAACAAAGAGCCCACGGTGCTGCTATCTGCAGAGGCTGAGATGTAATCAAACTTTCCTAGAGTGTTTTAAAAGATGAAGCTTACAAACTTGAATTGTGTGCTAATTAATACTGGATTCGAGACCCATCTATGTATCCTGTGGCTGTTGCCGATGGCTGCTGTAAATATGTCTAACTGACCATTTATTTTTAATGACACCAAGTTCTCATTTTCGCTGTCAGCACAGAATTTTCCTCTGGTGAAACCACTCTATTCGTAGTATATTAAAAACAGTTGGGGGGGGGGGGAAGTTAACAACAACAAAATTTATACAAACAGGGCTTCTCTGGCCTGAAAGGAAAAACACCCTAAGAAATTGGGATGAATTATTAATTTGTAACATCCATGATTGGCTTATGTTACCCTAGGAAAAACCCGAAGGAATGCAGAGTACACAGGCTTGTTGAATCTGACTTCATATCTGAAGTCCCAGGGGACAGGAGGTGTGGCATGGTGTCCCCATAGTCTCTCCTTGCTTAAGGATTTGATGGGCTCCATGACTATGCATGGAAACGTTACTGATGTTGCTTAGGTTTAGGATAAAATAGTCCCTGCGTCTCCCTCAACACACAGGTGTTTACACTGTATTTTATGATTGACAAGGGCATGTATTTGTAGACAGATGGGCGGGCTTTTCTTTCTCTCTTTCCTTCTTTCCTTCTTTCTTTCTTTTTTCTTTTTTTTTTAACTTTGTTCCAACTGAAAGCAGCTCTGCATAGGCATCACATCCAGCAATGATATTGCCACCAACCCCCTACCTCCTCTTAATTTCTGAAAGGTCATTTTGATTTCAATGAAACAGACCCCCAAGAAAGTGAGAGAGGCTATTTGCTTTGAGTCGTGATCTTCTTCGGAAGCTAAAGAGGTTTACATAAAACAAGTATCATTAAAAAACAAGGTATGTTATAAAATTGTTTTTTCACAATGAAGCTTGACGAGTCTTAAACTAAAACCAGCCATCTGGGGGATGCCAGGAATAAGCCTTTGAACACTTTCCAATCTGTCATTTGCCTCTAGATATTGAAATAGGTAAAGTACTCAGGCGTGAGCTCTTCAAATGTGCTGAGTATAGACTGCTTCAGGGTCTGGCTTCTGGGCACCGCCCCCACAGCAGCAGCAGCGTGCCCTTTCTGTACCCTGTTTCCTAATTATGCCTCACCGACTCCTTTATATTGTGAAAACTCTCCATGGAATTGTGATGTTAATTGGAGAAAATCAAATGCCTCTTGAGTAAGGCAGATTAGTTGTATGAATGTACTAAAAAGATTAAAATATGTAAATCAAATTTCACTTTACACATGCAGATTTCTTTCTGCAAGTTCCAAGGCTACTAACCCTTGCTGGTCCCTTGTCTCTGTGTGAGCTGGCCTAAGATTGCTCACACCTGGACATGGCTCCCAGTCTCTGGAGTTTAGTGCTCTACCATCTTTCTCTCTTTATTCACTCACAGTACTAATAATATGACTAGATCCTAAGATCTAATGATTATTTGGGTTTTTTTAATTTAAAATTTCTTACCACCTCCAAGCAGTCAATGATCTTGGTTAGTTTGTCTTCAGGTAAATTCTTCAACAAGGAAACACTTGAAAATTAAAAAGAAATCTTAAATTAATTATGTTTTTTTAATTAAAAAATTTGTTTCTGATAGAGTCTCACAATGTAGTCCAGGCTACCCCTGAACTTCTAAGCCCTAGTATTACAGGCATACAAAACCACACCTAGCTCTTACTTAATGCTATCTTGAAAAATATATATTTCATACAGATTCTAATTCTTATATTTGCATACTATTATAATACAATGTACTTTAGTTTTTCCAATGTAAGTATTCAAATAATTGAAATCACATAAATAACAGAATTTCTTGATGATAGGAAAGGGTTCATATATACTGTACTATTCCAGTCATTTGTCATAGGTTCAGAAATGAAGGTTTTAACATACTACAAAGGGAACAGTCACATCCCATCCACGCAGGACCCAGTTCACACTGTTGTTGGTTTGACAAGTGACTTACATCTAGAAAAGTGTTTGCTTCCACTTCTCCATGTCTCTAACAGCCCAGGAGAACTACTCTATTCAAGATGGAAGATTAGATTTTCATCTAACTCCTTGTAATTAGGTAAAGACTAAACTCATTGGAACATGAAAGTTACCAGTGATATATTCTTTGATTATTAATCTTACTGTACTGTCTTTTTAAATCAATGTTTCAAGAGACAGGTAACAGGAACATTTGAAATAGAATACTGAAACCAATTACTCTTAAAAAGTCACAAATTTCCCTTATCACGATTAACTAATCAATATGATTAGATTGTTTTATTGAATCAATTTCTTTCTGTTTTACACATTTTTAAGACCATTGATATTATTTCTATAAACAATATATCTTTATTACCATCTACCATTTGACATCCTTACAGGAAATATTATGCCGCTCCCAAAATGCAGGACTAAATCTGTTATTTCTATAAACAATATATCTTTATTACCATCTACCATTTGACATCTTTACAGGAAATATTATGCCCTCCCAAAATGCAGGACTAAATCTTGTGAAGGCAGGAAGCTCAAGGCAGACTCTTGCATGCATGTAGCATGGGGAACTAGGCCAGAAAACATGTGTGAGATCTGTAAGAATGCCTGAACTGATGCACTGGGATCGCAAAACACCAGAGTGAGCCAAGCTAGAGAACATATAAATGCATGTTGACAGGTAAGGAAAGAATGGGTTGCAAAAATAACACCATTCTTATTAAGTTCAAAATGGGTTAAATCAAGCCATAAATACAAATAACACCTAAGGGACGATAGTCAGTAAACTTCCAAACGCAGGAGGGAAGGAGAGGAACACATGCTGTGATGACATCAGAGCCCACAGGTACTGCAGGGACATCATTAACTTCAATTATAATAATGATGTTATCATTCACTTATAATAACACTTATTCATTTAAGTTTATTCTGATTGAGATACGTGTATAAAATTGGATATATTTATAAGGTTCTTTGCAATGTTTATATACATGTGTATGTATGTGCAATGTTTAAATATGGGTAAACATGTAGCTTCCAAGAATTTATCATTGTCTTATGGCAAAAACACACAGAGTTCTTCTCCCCAGCTTTTTGAAATATGCATTACATTGTTATTATGTATAATCACCTTATAGTGCAATATCACAACTTCTTCCTCCTGTCCACCCCTAGCTTAGCACCTGCTGGTCAACATTTTCTCATTGCTGTTGTAAGCACCTGGGAAGCACTGGTCTGCTCTCAACATCTGTGCAATGACTCTCTCAGAGCCTACATCTGAATGTGATTACGCAATACTTGTCTGTCTATGTCTAGCCCATTTCACCAAAATAGAGCATTCCCCACTTTGAGTCATGTCATCCCAAATAATGAGGTTTAATCTTTTTCTTTACGGTTAAACATTCTTCCATTATATGGGCCACATTTTCTTTATCCATTCATGGCTGATGGTCAATTATATTGTATCCATTTCCTGGTTATTCTGGATGGTGCTGCAAAGAACATGGAGACACAGATATATCCTCCAACATGCTGATTTCATTTCCTTTGGGTGTATTTCCTAATGGGATTGTTAGCTTTATGAGGTTTTGTGATTTACATGTATACCACAGTCCTCTGTATTACATTCCATATATAAAAAGGGCCTATTATATATAAAGGAACAAACAAACAAAAATGCTGCATTACCCCAGAGTAGTGCCTTCCTATTGAAATGGAAAAAAACAAAATCAAAACAAAACAAAAAAACAACTAGAACTCAATTTCCACAAACTAATGAAGGTTTTCCTTCTGGTCCAAACTGGAATCCATGAATAGCAAACCTTTGGGAGTGGTGGGTAAGCAGATGAGGAGTTCATTTCCCCTCTGTGTAGACAGGGATCGGGTTTACCTTGTTCACCACTGAATCCACAATGTTTACTGTCCAGAAATAAATATTTGTCGAATGGATGAATGAAATAACCATAAGAAGGTTGGAGAAGAGAAATACATTCTGGAAGACTCTCTGGGTTCCTTTAACAGTGCACACTAGGTTCCAAGGGGATTATGTCTCTGTAGAATGGTTTAGCTTTTATCTTAGACAGTCAATACATCCTGTGGTCACTGGTTTATTCCTGTACTCTTAAAAAAAAAAAACTCATCCCTAAAGTGTGACTTATTTAAATGCTGATCTGTGACATTCAGCTGCACAATTTTGAGATCACCTATATCTAGGTAGATCCTACCACATGACAGCTAAGGTAAGTGATACCTAGAGATGAGACACCTGCTTCACATTATTGCAACTCTGTTGGGAGTCATTATTGTCTCTAGGAGGGTATGTCAGGGAGATGCGCTATAAAAAACCTGCACACTGGCTGTGTTCTGCTGATTGTCAGTGTGTTCGTGCCTATGATCCCAAACTAAATGCTAGGTGTAGACAGCCCCTAACACAACTGGCTTTGCAGGCTGGCTATGGAAGGTCAAGACTGTACTCAGGAAAAGCTTGAAGCTTACTTTTGGAAGTCACATGATGCATCATTATTGTTACACTTAGCCCAAGTACATTTTATCACATGCTGTGTCCCAAATCCAGAGGCTGTCAACACTCTCAGATGCAAAACTACTGAACAGGGAGAGTATGCACTCTCAAAAACAGTTATCTCCTTAAGCTTGCCTTTGAAATTATACAAACATGTGTTTCCCTATAAACTGACTCACTCATGATGCCAAGGTACAGAGCATTTTACAAAATCAACTGTCCTGGTATCCATGTCATTGTGGCTACTTAATAACGATCTTTTTAGGCTGCTACAAACAATGGAAACTTAGAAGGTAGCATGGCTTTGTCAATGAGAAAAGTAATGTCACCTGTAGAACAAGGAGAGTAAAATAAATTAATCTTAATATTCCAAGTGGGGCTGGTGAAACGGCTCAGGCTATAAAGGACTGTGAAACCTGGACTGATTACCTGGGTTGGAGTCAGTGGAACCGCATGCCTGGAAGTGGTCTTCTGACTCCTACACATGATGTAGCACACATGTCAGTGTGTGCGTGCATTAAATAAATAAATGAATAAATAAATAAATAAATAAATAAATAAATAAATAAATAAATTTTAAAATTAATAAAATAACTAAAATTAATATTAGAAGAATTAGCCTTTTGGTGTACTCTCTGAGATCATAAATGTTTGTCAAAGCCCCATGAAGAAAATTGGGTGAATCTTTTGAGTGTTTTTGCATATTTTTTAATACTATGGTCCCTTCAATACTTAAGTAAAAGGAATAGCAAGAATATGATTCAGCATACAAGCTAATAGGAAATAGCTACAACTGTTAGAACCTGCTACCACTTACGGAAAGTCTTTTTCTCCTTGGTAAGATGATAGAAACTGCTTAAATGGGGAACAATAAGTAAGTAAATCATTACTGTGGTCAAATTCAACCTGCCTACCAACTGCTGCACTTTGGCCCACCACACGGTTACTCTTACCTTCTGAGGAAGTTTCTGTACTCCTCGTCCCTGGCTTGCGCTGTTCTCCTCATAATGTTCTGGAAAACCTCTCTATCGAGTGCCCAAGTTTTAACATTGGTGATAGCTTTAGAAAATTCAAGAAAACAATACAACAGTGTTTAGCACCAGACAAAGAAAATATTCCAAAATGTTAATCAGTGAGTATTTACTTATTGGAAATATATTATTAAACATGCGAATAAGTGGAAACTATGAAATTGTAGATGGTCATGGTTGTTTTCAGTTTTTGTTTGTTTGTTTTGTTATCACTTCAGCTTTGAGGTCTACCAGGATTAGGAAATGGATAGGAGATTTCTTTTCTGACTGTGTTTTAGGTAGGATGATATTCAAATAGCTTGTTTGCAATTTCTAATCGTGCACTGAATCCGCTGCATACCACAGGGTGTGTTCTTGAGTCAAGCCAGCAAATGATTCAACAGAAAAAGGGTTCATAAGCAGGTAATTGGAAGCTGAAGTCTGTGTGCACATGTGTGAATCTGTGTCTTTCTGTGATGTTTAGACACTGCTGCATAAAAGCCAATACCATCTAAAGATATGTACAGTTACTTTGGTATAAAATGGACACAAACACTTTTAAAGATAAAACAAAAGAAAATTTGGGGGCAAAAATTTTTATATGGGAGATTTTAAAAGCAAGCATAATATCCAAACTGACAGGCAACAGAAGAAATTAAAAGAAAAAAAAAGGTTTAGATACATTATGGTTGGAAGATTTAAAACATAAGCTATAGAGGTGACTCTGAAGTTAAGAACACTTGTTGCTCTTGCAGAGGACCTAGGTTTGATTCCCAGTACCTACATGATAGCTCACAACCATCCATAAGCCCAGTTATATACAGGGGACTGCACATGGTGCACATACCTGCATACAGGGAAAAGTCATACACCTAAAGCAAAATAAGTAAATCTAAAAATTTAAAAATAAAAGTATCAAAATGATTTTTAAAACAAAATAAAAAGAATAATGACATGAACCTATAGTTCACCAAACTTCTGAGTATAATGGAATCAGTCACTCAATATTCTTGTTTAAAAAATGTATCCCCACCCAAGTTTTGTTACACTTCAGGTTTGGAGGTGAACCTCACAACCTACATTTTTATTCAATTCCTCAGTGGTCTTAATCCTTATAACCCTGTGTAACTCCACTCTTAACGCTGAGACACAGCACATCGAAGCAGACCGAAGGTCTACTTCAAGGGTACTGTGAAAAAAAGGCACAGAAATGGCACTCTTTAAGAGGAGCGATTTAAATACTACTCAGGGAAGCACTTCTCCAGAACACCCCCATGCTGATATTTATATCATTGCTTTCCATGATATCTCTGCTTTATAAGAACTTAATACACTAGAAAGCAAACATCCTAAACGAGTCAAAGGCAATGGTCTATGTAATAAAAAGTAAGGTAACAATTGAACAAATATGGAAGCATTCAACTTCATACCACACCTCATATACAGGTATCTGAGAACTTTCATTTTTCTTTCTAATGCATATACATGTTTGTGTTTGTGTGTTTATGTAGGTACACAAGCTTCTGTGCAGGGGCATGTACATATACATACGGGTACCTGTATGTGCATGTGCGTATGTGTGTTTGCAAGGCCAGATGTCAGCTTTAGGTGTCATCCCCAATGATGCTACCTACCTCCTCAGTCAGGTCTCTTACTGTCCTGGAGCTCACCAATTAGGCTAGACTGTCTGGCCACAAAGCCCAGGTATCTCTCTGTCACTACCCCGCCAGCACCAGGATTGAAGGCTCTTGCAACAGCCTGGCACTTCACATAGATTCTAGGGATGGACCTCTGGTCCTTATGGTGGCAAGCCAAGTGCTTTCCCTAGTGAGCTACCCCCAGCCTAGGAAAAGTTTTTCTGAGCTTGAATCGTTTCTATCAAAGCTCCCACATAAATCTTTTTGTTGGAATTGTATTTTTTTATCAATAAAGGTTATGGGGTCAAATGAAAAACAAAATACCACAAGCTTGGCTCAGGAGCCAGCCTTAGGTGCAGCAGTGATTCTGAGCAGCGTGTCTCTTCTTACCTTTCACAGAGGCAGTCCGAGTACAATTGTACAAAATAGCCAGTTCCCCAAACGTGGTCCACATCGGAATGGATGATAGCAATTTCTCTCCTTGGAACACCTCTAGTCTACCCTCTATCAAACAGAATTGAGAAAAATGCAAATCATCAAAATATATCTGGGTTCTATAAAGAAGAAGAAAAGAAGCAGAAAGCATGCAAATCGCGCAGTTAAGTCACTTAGGAATCTAATTATACCAGAGTGGTTAAAAGATCAGGCCTGAAGCCAAATCTGCCAATCTCTGACCGTGAGCAGTCTGCCATGGATGGTGGGGAGAATCATAGGTATTTCATACGTTTATCATAAGAATTAAGTAAGTTAACACAGGTAGGGAACTCGGAACACTAGCTAGCACAGGCTAGATGTTATGTAAATTCCTAGAGCACTCATTCTGCCCTACGAGGAAATGTAGCACAGGAAACCATTTCTCCCAACAGTCACAGTGTGTCTTGAAAACACTGCACAGCTGTTGCCGGGAGGGAAGGAAGACTTGTCAGAGCCATGGTGTCCCAGCTGTTGGGTCAAGCCACCTAGCTCTACATCTGGGTTGCACTAGTTATTGGTCGTGTAACCTTGGATAAGTGACTTCATGGCCTCAGCTCCTGAGCCCCTTGTCTTGGTACATGCCTATACATCTACACCAACACAAAGCTGAGGCAGAGAAAACAGAGTGCTGAGCAAACTGCTTACAGTTGTTCTGCCCTGGAAACCATTCCTTGCCTCTTCAAGCAAAACCTCATCTAAGAAATCTGCTATTTTAAAGGAAGAAATCTGGGGGAAGCAATGGCAGTCTTTGTCCTACTCCCAACAAGCTTGTGTCACTGTCACCCTGTGTCATCCACTTCATTTTAACAAATCCAATATGAGAGTCTACATCATGCCAGGAACCATCACAGGTTCCAGGCCAGAGAAGCAAAGGTAGAACTATATTCTAACAAGAAATATATGGGATAGAACTATACTCTAACAAGTAAAAAAAAAAAAAAATCTCTTTCTTTTGGTTCTAAATTCCACAGATGACACATACAATTCAATAATTTCTTATTACAGCCAATTCTAGTTACATCAAAACCACTTGGGATTGATATCCTAGATCCTAATACATGTCCATGTTCTTTTCTTAATTGGTTATGGCCTATAGGATTTGAGTAATACTGAAGAATTATAATGGAATACCCAGAGTCTACGCTAACTATGCTGCAGTGTTTGTTATTCAGGCTATATCTTATAAAGGAGAGAATTCTAATTATCAAATTAATTTGCTTGGGCAGATAATTAAGCGAGGCAATTCAGTCCTTAGATGCCACCATAATTAATTCGAATAAGAAAGCATCCAGTTTTCGCTTCCGTGTATGCTGTATGCCTGGTCTCAACAGCTGTGGTAATGCTGACTCCTGTCTAACCTCTTCTTTCCACAAGCCTTTCATCAAAGTCACTGGCAAGGAATAGGATGGAGCTGGCAGGCGTTTCTTGTGCTCTCTTAGCAGGTTCCATAAATATTTGTTGACTTAATGACCTATCTTTTCCTGCCAAAATGCTCTCATGATGCTAAAATAGATGTGAAATGGCCAAGAAAAAAGTTGTAAGAAGAAAGTATTACCGTGGGTCACCTATCCCTGTAAAAATCGAAGGCTGGCTAAATTAAGACTATAACTCACTACAAGGAAAGAATAATCACTCTGGCATGACAGAATCATTTTGACATTACCTTTAAAGATTATATGACAAATAATGCACAAATAATTTTAAAAACTGATAGGCTTTTAGAATCAATATACAAAAGAACAATCCTTGGAGTGTTGAAAACAGGAAACTACAAGTACATTAACTTGCTTAGATAGGCAACTTCTAAGGCTGCAGGAAACAGGAAAAGTACTATTGCTTGATTGCTTAGATTATTGGGAGCCACATTGCAAGATGGAAGTTCACAGCATCAATCAGGAAGCCATGCTACCTGGGTAAGGAAGTTTAATTTTCTCTCCTAAAACTCAAAAAGTTGAGGCAATTCCGAATTTTACATGACATTCAATCACCTCAATCCCTATCCAGGCAATTTCTTGCTTTTTTATATTTAAAGATTAGCAACTATTTAAGATTCATCAATGGGTCTGTTACTGTCTCCCAACCATGTGCGTTCCAGTGATCGTGAAGCACAGGACTAAAGGCTGTATACACTAATAGGTAAGGCATTTGATTTGTTTGTTAGAAAGAAGCTTAAATGATCCTTTGAAATCACTGGTGTACAATCAAAGTGATTTTCAAAGCCAGAAAAAATGAACTCTCCTTAGTAACAATGTCAAAAGTGTCAACATAAACAGCTACATTTTGAACCAAACTTTTCAATAAACAGCATTCTGACTAAGTGTGGAGCTTTGAGTCTGGTTTCCTTCCTGTACTATACACTTTCCATTTCTGAGCAGTGAGGCCTTGGATGTGTGATTTAACCTCTGTGGGATGGATATTGATCCCATTGATAACACGAAACAAACTGTGCTTGCTGCAACAGGACAGATAAGAGAAAAAATGAGACCTCTTATCAAGTGCTCAGTGGGAGATGAGACACAATACATTCCATGAACATCAGCCACTGCCGTGACCACATCATCAATGTCCTTGTCATGCACAGTCAATCCGTTTATTTTCTACAAACAGTGCAACTTGGTTTTGTTTTTAAAATGTTTGCAAAACAGGCAAAATAAACAAAATCATTTCATGTGGGAACTTGAAAAGGCCTGTGAAACTCACCAGCCAGCACAAAGATTCGGTTTCCAGGTTCCCCTTGCTTAATGATGTAGCTGCCCTGTTGATAGTTTCTCCCGTACATGCATTCCACCATGTCTTTGATCTGCTGGGGATCCAATCTCTTCAGAAACTGGTTCTTATTCAGAGCATCTGTGATGAGCTTTTTCTCACTGTTAAATACAATAACAGAAAATGAATGGTCATTACAGTTAAAGGAAAGCATGAAAGATTCATTTCATTCTGTGTTTTGATACAAGTCTTCAAATCTACATGTATATAATTTTTTGCAAGGACATATTTCTTTTCCTGGTCTCACCTAAAACTTCACCAATATATTATGTGCCAAACTCTTAAAAATATATTGGATATTTTCTGGTAGTCATGATACCAATTAACAATCATTTATAACCCTGTCTCTCAATGGAAAATTCCCATGCCATGCAATTGTCAGATGGATGCAGATCCGGAAAGCAGAAAGAAGTTGTATTTGTGAGATTACAAATCCCTTCATTGATGCATCCCCCACTGATGCTCTTATGCTCATGCAGTGACAGTGTTCTTTTATATCTTATGTAGCTCTATAGTCTTTAGCATAGTTACTATTCCCATGTTTATGAAGAAGGAGAATAAAAGGGAAGAAAGGATTTACTGTTCCTAGATTTTAAATCTGAGTATGTTAATCGCCACCTATGATACTTCCATTCCACCCCACTACCTTTGGAGGGCAAAAGCTGGGTCCTTAGGTTTGATTAACATGGATTGGGGTGTGGAAGTCAGGGTTTGCTCCAGGATGTTTTTCTTGGTATGATTAGACTGGACAAAAACTTCATTTCCAATGTTACACTCTTTTTCACTGCTCAAATTAAAGTCTTACTTATTGACAATCCTAGAATCCTTTGCCTTCTGTTAGCAAAAAGAGGCAGCTCAAAATAGTTACTCAATTGCCATGTGTCTCAAGTGTTCTAATTAACATACTCTGTCTTAGATGTTACAAAGTATTGAGCTGGAGGAAAAGATGCTTCATGAGCTGTGGGAATTTTTACATACTCCATTTGCTGTCTGTGATTTTTAATGGCCTTTTTTCCTCCTGCAACATTCATTCAAATGCCCTTTAACAGTGGTTTCTTTTCTATTAGGAAACAAGTAGACCTTCCCTATACAAAAGGTTCTCAAGCACAAGCTAAAGACTTCCTAAAATGAATAACTTCCCTCAGGACCCCATCAAATCATTAATCCATGGAAAGGAAGCAGACGAGCTCCTTGCTAGGAACCCCTTCCTCCTTAAAGTATCTTCTCTATCCTCAGAGCCATCCAAAGCCAGTGGCCACCTTAAGAACTCCCTTTTCTTTCATCTCAACCACGATAGCATTTTGCCAATTCTATTTTAAATATTTAAAACTGCTTTTATTTGTCACAAATATAAGCATCATGAAGCTTCAATAAAAGTATACACTCAAGCAGACACTCACCCAGATGCAAACGCTATACACTTTGTTGACTTGTCTACAGTTAGAATAGTCACTCTGGAGCCACAGAACTTCACTTAGGGCCTCATGCCTTCAGTAGCAATTTCATTTCTGTGCACCTATCCACCATGATATACCATGTCAGAGTTGAAGCTAGAAAAACAACTAGCTTGGTGGCCTCTTTCATGGCTCCTGCATCCTTTTTCTGCACACCATTCTTCCTCATCAACTACTATTACCCTTTCTAGCTTTTCCTTCTACGTATTTCACCAAAGCCATACACATACTTGCTTATACACACATGCACACATTATGGGCTGATCCTCAGATGAGGGAGAATATGTATCTTTCTTTCAGGGACTGGGTAGCCTTGCTTAATATCCTACATCCTGTCCTTCCGTTTCCTACTGAGTTTGCAATTTCATCTTTCTTTAAAGCTGAGGGATATTCTAATATATAATTTCTGTATACTGTATGTTACTATGTTAATATGACATATATAACATATGCACTAAATTCTCACCCATTCATTTATTAACGAGTATCTAGATGTGTTGATTCTCTTTACAAAAGAATTTATTTTTAATTTCAATGATATCACCACAGCATAAGAACAATTTATAGTTCTGGACTATAAAGTTAACAGCTTCTTTACTGAGATTTAAGCTTCTTGGGGCTTTTCCTTTCAGGTCAGCCTGTACTATATCATGAAACTAATCTTGCTAGGAAAAAAATGATTTGAATGTTTCCATATTCTCCCTTATCCACTAACAAATAAATAAAAGTGCTCATAAGTTAGCCCTCAGCTAATATATACTGAGGGCATACTTCTGTTAGGCAAAGTTTTCAGCTCAAGTACAAGACATGAACAATATACAAAATCCCCAGCATCAGTGGACTGCCTGTGCTTGTGTAGACCATCAGTGGACTGCCTGTGCTTGTGTAGACCATCAGTGGACTGCCTGTGCTTGTGTAGATCATCAGTGGACTGCCTGTGCTTGTGTAGACCATCAGTGGACTGCCTGTGCTTGTGTAGACCATCAGTGGACTGCCTGTGTTTGTGTAGACCATCAGTGGACTGCCTGTGCTTGTGTAGACCATCAGTGGACTGCCTG